AACGAACTTTATACACTGGGGAAAAGGGCTGTCCCCTTCCTTCAAAAGTTGCAATGATAACCCTATATGCAAAACAGAAAAAGAGACACAGATGTACAGAACAGACTTTTGGACTCTGTGGGAGAAGGCGAGGGTGGGATGTTTCGAGAGAACAGCATTGAAACATGTATATTATCTAGGGTGAAACAGATCACCAGCCCAGGTTGGATGCATGAGACAAATGCTCGGGCCTGGTGCACTGGAAAGACCCAGAGGGATCGGGTAGAAGGGAGGTGGGAGGGGGGATCGGGATGGGGAATACATGTAAATCCATGACTGATTCATGTCAATGTATGACAAAGCCCACTACAATACTGTAAAGTAACTAGCCTCCAACTAATAAAAATAAATGAAAAAAAAATTTAAAAAAATAGAAAAAAAAAAAGTTGCTCCACCTCTGTCTGCAGCTCTTAACGCTGTACCCACCACCAGGCTCTGGAGTTAAAGTAGAAAGACTTGAACTGCAGAGGAAAGCCTGGCCAATATTGAAGCTTCCAAATTTTAGGACTTCCTTTATTTCAGCAGACCTTTGTAGGGAAGTTTCTAAGGGGATATTAATAAACAAAACCTCAACTATACAACAGAGTTACTAACAAACATAAATGGTTCATTTTCTTTAAGATGAGATTCTACTGTAAAATATGACATTAACTTGCAAATGCATCACAACCCTATAGTCACCACCCCTTTAGGGTTGTGATGCCAGAAGAAATATTGTTGCTTTATTTCTATAGTTTTTCCACTCATTTTAGGGTATAACATATCAAGTACACAAAAGATTCAAACACAAGCCTCTCTGATATCACAGTGTTCAGCATACTATTTCCATGAACATATATCCTGTATTTAGACAAATCTAAGTCTCTCTACTTTTCCAGCCTCTTGTTCTGGGGTATCTTTTTGCTTATTTACTTTTGTTTTTTTAAGAAATATGCTCCTTGGCTATTACCAGAAAAAGATGAGATCTTTTTTTTTTTTTAAAGACGAGATCTAACAGAACTTTGTAAATCAACTATATGACAATAATTTTTTTTAAATGACAAGCAATAACAAATTCTGTTTAGAATGTGGAGAGATTGCACACTATTAGTGGGAAATCAAACCAGTAAAACTATGGAAAACAGTATGGAGATTCTTCAAGAAACTAAATATAGAACTATCTTATGATCCAGTGATCCCACCTTTGGGTATATGCCCAAAGGAAACAAGACATCTAGAAGAGATGCTTGTATTTCCATGTTCACTGCAGTATTATTTACAACAGTTAGAGTATGGAAACAACCGAAGCACCCATCAATGAATGAATGGATAAGGAAAATGTGGTATACACACACACACACACACACACACACATACACATACATATAAAGCAGAATATTATTCAGCCTTAAAAAAAGGAAGGAAAACACTATCATTTACAACAACATGAATGACCCTGAAGAGCATCATGCTAAGTAAAATAGACAGAGAAAGATAAATACTCCATGGTATCACTTATATGTTGAATATTAAAAAAAAAAGTCAAATCCATAGAAATAGAGGGTTGAAAAGTGATTGCCAATAATTTGCAGTATGGGAAATAGGGAGAGGTTGGTAAAAGGTGTAAACTTATGGTTACAAGGTTAGAAGGTTTGAGGATCTAGGGTGTAACATGGTGACCATAGTTGTTAACACTACTGTGTACTTGAAATTTGCTAAGAGAACAGAACTTAAATGTTCTTATAAAAGAAAAAATATATACAGGAGATGATGGATGTGTTAATTATCATGATGGGGGAAATCCTTTCACAATGTAGAAGCATATCAAATCATCACACACGTGTTAACTTTCTTACAGTTTCACCTGTCAGTTATACCTCACTAAAGCTGAAAAGTAAATAAGCCCACTCTTGGTGACTGGAAGAAAAAAAAAGAAATACCCGCTCAAAATATAACTGCTTTCCACACCTGTGTACCCTCTGAGTTACCCTCCTGAGTCATCGCTATTATTTCTGATTGGCATTTGTAACAAGTCATGAAGAACAAGTTTTGTCTTAGACACATTTTTACCCTTAGAAGACATGTAGTGTTATCTCTATATGGCTAGTAGTTTGTACCTTTCCTAACTATTACACAACTAGGTATTAAAGAGTTTGTTTTTTGGTAAGAGTGAGCAAATCTATAAAATATCACAGCCCTGAAAGAGACATCTGTAAAAATCTGTTTTAGAAGTATGAAATAAACATTGCCAAACCAAAAAATAATAATTACAATAAAGTAGAATATTTAAGTCTATTTGATGAGCATGGTTCCAATTCTGAACCTTTAGGCTATATCTGCACAACACAAAGGGAAATATAGGTTATTCATCAAAAGAAATAGCAAATATAAATAATCTGGCTCCTCTGCATAAAGGTCTCTAAATTGACAAAACTAACACTCTACTGTAACTGCACTCTTTACTCTGTTATTTAATCAAGTAAATTCAACATGGGCTTCCCAGGTGGCGCTAGTAGAAAGAACCTGCCTACTAATGCAGGAGATGTAAGAGACTCAGGTTCAATCCCTGGGTCAGGAATAACCCTGAAGGAGGGCATGGACAGAGCAGCCTGGTGGGCTGCCGTCCATGGAGTTGCAAAGAATTGGACACGACTGAAGCGACTTAGCATATACACACGTATACATTCAACATGAGTCTATTTTTCAAGTTTGCTCTGCCAATAGTTTTATGGTGACTTGGGCTCACTTTTTGCTAGGCAAAAGCAGAATTTATTCATTTATTTAATCAATATTAATTAATAATATGACATTATTTATGGACTCGCTCATTGAGGACCTACTGTCTTCTGTATTTTATGGAAAATGAAGCAGCCGAATGCACTGTTTCTGACTTTGAGAGGTTAATACTCCATCAGAGAACAAAATGAAAACACACACAAAGAGCTGAATTACAGTCAAGAAGCGATCAGTTTAACAAACAAACAAATGACAGCAATAAAAGATGTGAATGGAAAAGGGGCAGAGAGTGAGAGAATGTAGCTCAGAGTAAGAGGCTCCACTCAGACAAAGGATGGAGGTCAGAGGTAAGAGTGCAGGCTGAAAACCGGTGGAATCTGGCCCCAGCAATTGGTGTTCTGGGTTCCCTACTGTGAAGAGTGAGCAGGAGGATGAGAGAAGATCATATGAGAAACCATGCACTGTTTTATCATAATTCTCAAATATCCTGTAAGAAAGTTCCTACCCTTTTTCTGTTAGCCCTTTATCCCAGGTGTTTTCAGCTTGATATAATCAACGATGGACTGATGGGACCAAAAGAAGCACACTGTCTGTTAACTCAAAGGCATTCAATATTTATTAAAGAATAGATACATTAATGGTACTTAATGAGCTAGGACACATGTGTTGCTCTTGTGCAAATGAGGGAAAAACAAAAACAAAAACAAAAACAACAACAAAAAACCCTGTATTAGTTGTCCTAAAATGCAGGATAGGATTGGGGATGTTTCTAACAGGATGTAACCCCTCTGTCATGGTGTTTCAGGGGTAGCATACTGGTGCCACGAAAGATAAAACAGGGTACGGGGGAAAGCACAGATACCAAAGAGATTTCCTAGAAGTTTCGCCTTGAGAAAACTGCATGTCTCACTCTTCCTTATGGGAAGTGCTTAAACTAGTCATATTTTCAAATGATGAGTGCAACTCCTGTCTCCTCAGTGATACATACATGTCTGTACATTGTTTCAGAGCTATCTTGTTCTATAATATACTAGATATACAGTCATTTAGGTTAACTAAAAGTCACTGGAAGTGAGTTATGCACTTGATTTCGAAATAACTAATTATCCAAACTACACACTCTCTAAAAAAAAAATCAAGTATTCAGAGTTAAAGACATGCCTTTATGAAAAATAAATAACATTCTCATTACAATATATTTTACTATGATATTAATTAATACAAAAATGTGTCATAATTTAAATGTAACATACAATTTTATAACATACTATGCTGCTCCTAGGAATACAGGAATACATTCTTTTTCTGGTCTGAGATACCCCCTGAAAAGCTACAATGTGTTCTAATCATTACTATTAGATTCTTAATACACACTTTATATTATTACTTAAAAAAAATATAAATATCTCAAAAAATGATGCCAAAAACAAAACCTTTAAGCCTTCTTCCTCCCACCTGAAGTACCATTTTAGCATGTAGTTTTTCAAAAAGAGTATAATATTAATATTTTAAAACATTAATAAGCAAGTGGACTTTCCTGAATGTCTTTGAGAAGTTGAAGGGTAACTGAACCACACGTCACTCAGGGAATCCACAAATCATCCTTCACAGGCTTCTTTGTCCCTAACACCTGACTCATGCTGATCAACAGCATGACCCAAGCAAGCACCCACCCCAAGCTTCTCTTTTCTGCCCCTTCCTTCTCTTCCTGAGCCTTTCCTTGTTCTTTCTTCATGTAACATAATCTTTTCAGGGAGCTCTGCTGCTCTACTTTAGGAAAATCAAATTTGCTTTTTACAATTCTCTGCTTCCCACATCACAAAATTAGTATAAGAGAGAAAACAAAGATTATCCTCAGAAGACTAGAAGAAAAAAAAAAATCTATGAACACAAATATTTTTGAATGCTCATACACATAAGCATATTAGGAAATAATGTTGCACCAGAATATTGACTGCACAAATCCCTTTCCCAGGTGGCATACAGTTAGTTGTTCAGAGTGAAAGTGTTAATTCTCCCAATTCTCTAAGCTTCAATGCAGTATAAAGACTAAATGTGAACTGCAAAAATACAAAGGCAGTGAAATCACTAATTGAACAAAACCATGAAATTTGAATATTTATACTAGGAAAGAGCATGCATTTTTTCCCCTGAGAACCACTCCTTATTTTTCAGTTATAATTTCTTCTAATATTTTCCAGTTAAACTATTCACAACTAAAAATATTAAATGAATTTTAATCTTACCATTGTTGTCTCTTGAATAGATCCAAAGCTGTTGATAAAAATGTTGACTACGACATCAACAGGAATGCCTGTCAATAAAAATTAAGGATATATTTTAGTGGCTGTAAAAACCTTGGTCAGAATCTTCATATTTTTATGGTTTATACTGCTGTTATATTTTTTCCAATCCACACAGATGTATAAACCTATGGTTTCAAGATACATGTTCACAATTGCTATTAACTTATTCTTCTAAATAGGGATCAACACACAAACAAAAAATGAGTTATGTTGTTCTTCATAGCATTATTTATTCAGAAATATTTCTCTCTTAAATTGCAGGGACTCTGGGAAAATACATTTACCTTAAAATTTTTTCAATTGGGCTGATGCATTTACTTTAAGATATTGTAACTTATTTTTTAAAAACATCATTTAAAAATATGATTTATGTTTTGCATTTTATAATCTTTCAAATTTTTACCTAAAACAGCAAGCAGAATACAAAAACAATTACTATATTTTGATTTTTAATCCATGAAAATGTAAACTTAATCAGACATACAACAGAATCATTATAAAGATTTTTGCCTGACCTGTTGGAAAATAATTTTAGAGTTCATAGAGTGAGAACTAAGGTATAATGTTGCCAATTTCTTTCTTGCTTTCTTTTTTTTTTCACTCATTGTGGGTTGCTGCTTGGGCTAACAAAGGGAAAATGTGAATTTAGCCTTTTGGCCACATAACCTCTGACTGATGAAAAACAGGTGTCGAATCAATACATGGTAGACATGTGACAACCCAGACCATGGTGCTGTTGAAAGTAACAGAGTAGGTTCTGGTAATGAACAAAAAACTCTGTTTTTACAACATCGTTGTATAACTTCAGTTGACTAGAAGCAGCTGCAGGCTTTTCTTTTGTTTTTTTTTCCTTATAAAGGAAAAAAAAAAAATCAAGCCTCCTAATGTTAATGCGATCTACATTAATACCTGTCCTTAGCCAGCAACAAAGATGGCAGTTTTCCAGAGATATGTTCATATAACTTCCTAACTCCTCAAGAGGAAGAAAGAAAGAGGGAAAGTAAGAAAGAAAGAAAGGATGGAAGGGAGAAAGAAAGGCAGGCAAACACATACAATCTTCCTACAACTTTTATTGCAAGTACAGTTTTGGTTTTTAAATGGTGTGATAGGTGGTAATATTTTATTGAAGTAAAAATATAGTCACCTTTATTCACAAAGTTAACATGTTTTTAAAAACCATATGGCTTTTTTTTTTTTTCAGCCAAAGCAGAGAGGGATTTTTTTCTAAACCAATGTAAAACACTAACGAAGAGTAAAAAAATAATTTAAATGCCTATCAGAGATTTCTTTATTTTGAAATGAGTATATGGCTGTTCTCCTACAAAGTAGAATTTTGGTGTCTGAATGAGAGCCAGAGCCTAAATTTAAATTATTAAGGTTAAGAATACAAAGTACTTAGAAAACCCATCACATGGGTTAGCCAATTAATTCACAATAGAAAACCCATCACACGGGTGAGCCTATTGATTCACAATATACCTTTTTCTTCTAAACCCTAGAACCATATAAAACTATTACAAGTAATATTTTGGTTACCTTTAAACATTTTTTGCATTTAATTGCTCAGACATAAGAACATTACAGAACAGTTATTACTGTTTTGAATATCCAAAATAAATGATTTTACACAGATAAAATTAGGTTTTAAACCACAAAGAGTGTAGATATTGGAGGCGGGGAGCCAAACCTTTGAAATTTGGTCTTATCCTGGGATCATAACTGACCAGCAGTCTGTTCAAGATATTGCTGGTAGAGTTGGCGGGTACTCGGGCTAGGTCCTCTGCTGACTGTTGCCTATAAGAGAAAAAAAAAAAAAAAACCCTGGTAAGTATTTAGAAACAGCAAGCAACAGGCATGGGTGATTTTCATTAGAGGAAAGACTTTGCTTTTTGAGACAAATATATAGCATGTCTTTTCCAAATAGAAGTGAAAAGTAATAGATATTATCAGAAACCCAAAAGATATGTCATTAAAAAAAAAAAACAGAAAAGTAGCCCAGCACTTAATTTTAACAAATGCATAAACACTGCCCCAAATAATCCATGTTACTTTCTTTTAAATAAAGTTAAGCAGACCTCTTACTCGTCCTGAAGCAATATGCAATCAAAATCTAGACAAGCACAAAGGAAGGGCAGACAAGGAGTTAAGAGAAAAAAAAGAGATAGTTTTCAAATAATATATAATATTAACCTTCTATCTAAGCAAAATAGTATGTGAAGACTACAAGATGATATGGCCAAAGAGACAGTCCAAGAATCTGTAAAATTTATAAAAGTCATCTGACACTTATAAAATGATACTGTGTAAGAAACACACAATGAATGCTCTCTGTGGAGTTCATGGTTGTTTAGTTGGTAAGTTGTGTTCGACCCTTTTGTGATCCCACGGACTGCAGCCTGCCAGGCTCCTGTGTCCATGGGATTTTCCAGGCAAGAATCCTGGAGTGGGCTGCCATTTCCTACTCCAGGCAATCTTTAGGACCCAGCGATCAAACCCTAGTCTCTTGCATTGGCAGGCAGACTCTTTATCACTGGTCATCAGGGAAGCCAATTTACTCTGGATTGGTAAAACAGTTCCTTTACTATCAGACCAATTAAATAAAGGAAAATATAGAGGCCTGAGATACAGCTGCCTTTTTCTTTTATTCAATATATATACATATTTGCTATCAACTATCAAAAAGAGAAAAACTGCCATATTTTTCTATTGTAATTAACTTTGAACAATGAATCTTGACTAAATTGGTAGTTGCTTGGGAGCACTTAAACTGTTCCTTGGAGGTCTATGAAAACTGTTCTTTTGTTTACCATTTGTTTGGGATCTATTAGCACCCATAAAATCTTATCATATAATCATTTTCCCAGTCCAAAAATCAGTTCAGTTCAGTTGCTCAGTCGTGTCTGACTCTTTGCGACCCCATGGATTGCAGCACGCCAGGCCTCCCTGTCCATCGCCAACTCCCGTTTACTTAAACTCATGTCTATTGAGTCAGTGATGCCATCCAACCATCTCATCCTCTGTTGTCCCCTTCTCCTGCCTTCAATCTTTCCCAGCATCAGGGTCTTTTCAAATGAGTCAGTACTTTGAATCAGGTGGCCAAAGGACTGGAGTTTCAACTTCAGCATTAATCCTTCCAATGAATATTCAGGACTGATTTCCTTTAGGATTGCCTGGTTGGATCTCCTTGCAGTCCAAGGGACTCTCAAGAGTCTTCTCCAACACCACAGTCTGAAAATAATATCCATGAAAATCACAAGAAAGATTAAAACTACACTTGAGCATCCAGAATTGTCTATTCTGTATCAATAAGATGTGCTCCTGTATTCTCAGTCTCCTCAGTCCTGTCTGGCTCTTTTGCAACCCCATGCATTGTAGCCCGCCAGGCTCCTCTGTCCACGGAATTCTCCAAGCAAGAATATTGGAGTGGGTTGCCATGCCCTCCTCCAGGATATCTCCTGACCCAAGGATTGAACCTATGTCTCTTGTACTGCAGGCAGGTTCTTTACCCGCTGAGCCACCTGGGAAACCCCATCAAGATGGTAAAAGTATCAGTTTCATAAATAACATTAATTTATAAGAAGCAAATAATGTAATACATTTGCTTTGTTTTGAGATCCCAGCTCTGATGTATCAGGTAATTTTGTTCTTTGTTAATTATGCAACAACATACTGTTAACATGTAACCGCTATAGATGAAATATGACAGTAACTAGCATTCCAAAAGAAAAAAAAAATCTAAAAATACCATGAGTTAATACAGACAAACTTTTCAAGTAGCTATCAGAAAGAATCCAAACCATTGGAGAAATAAAGTGAAAACCAATTAGTCAAATCTCCCCAAAGTACAGGAGATTAAGTAGATTTAAGTTCTATCTCTTGACCTTATCAGCTCTCATATCTTACCTAGTTGCAGGTTTTGGGGACTGGTAATGAGATTTTTCCATTTCATTGCAAGGGAAATTGTAACCTTCTTAGAGCCAACTGTCATCCCTAATCAAAAGATAGAAAACTCCAAAGAAAATGAGGTTATTTTGGAAAATTGGATATTAGGATGAAAATTAGTGTCCAAATCCATCTACAGGTTTTCTCATTCAAGGAAGGAAGGTAGAATTGATGGACTGCAAACTACACTTGAATAGGATCATGTAAGAACTGTTATTATTATCTCTCAATGTAAAATCCTTCAAAAGTCCATTTCTTCTAAGTAATGGAATGAACCAGACATCATAAAGTGAATTAACAATAATTTATCTATTTATTTTTTGGCCATGCCATGGGGTATTAGTTCCCCAACAAGGGATCAAGTCCGTGCCCCCCACATTGAAAGTGTGGAGTCCTAAATACCAGCCAAGTCTCACAATAATTTCTGTGGTAGAGAACTTTTCAGCCTGATTTTTTTTCCCAGCTGTGAAGGGAGGCAGAATATGACACCCCACATCTATACCTCTTCAGCATTAAAATTATTTTGAACCAAAAGCACTTGAAGAAAAGCAAACATAGGGACAGGATTTCTCTAAATTCTTCTTATCTGCCTATAGTCAGACACACTGCTATATTTAAAATAGATAACCAACAAGAACCTACTGTATAGCACATGGAACTCTTTTTCAATGCTTTGTGGCAGCCTGGACGGGAAGGGAGTTTGGAGAAGAATGGATACATGTAGATGCATGGCTGAGTCCCTTCACTGTTCATCTGAAACTATCACAACATTGTTAATCAGCTATACCCCAATATAAAATGAAAAGTTCAAAGAAATTAAAAACAGAGAAAGAGTTTCTCCAAAAGGAACCCTCTTGTCTTCAATCCCTTCCCCAGAGGTTTCATCAACTGGGTAAGATGACTCATCACAGGAGAGAACACCACTTGATACCACACCCAAGAAAACTGAGTCACAAACATCACACCTCTTTCATCTCTTCTTCTCCAGATCAGTCATCTTTTCTAAAAATCATCCACTCTCCCTGGAGGTCCACATTCTCCTCCCCTCCCCCTTTCAAGATGGTATATAAATTCTCAAAACTCAACACTCTCTCCCGTATTCAATTTTGCTTTTCTCTGATGCTGGCCCATATGCACATAACATTAAAAGTTAATGAATGTGCATACTTTTTTTATCCTGTTAGCATGACTGTTGTCAGACTACTTCACAGACCCAGCTATTGAGGATGGGGTGGGGAAGAAAAAGAACCCTTTTCTCCCTTACAGCTGTAAGTCAAGTCACCCAAATTCACCTTCGAGCCCTTCCAACTCACTACCAGATTTTATTTTTCTCCTGATTGTCAGCCCCCCTTAGTGGAATATCATAATTCCTACTCATCGTTGAACTAATCTACACTATTCTTTCATACTGCCCCTCTAAAATGATGCCTCTATTATACTGGCTTACTCTAATAAACTCAAACTGAAAAATATACTGTTGGGCCGACATCCATTGGATCACAGAGAAAGCAGCAGAGCTCCAGAAAAACATTTGCTGCTGCTGCTGCTGCTGCTGCTGCCAAGTTGCTTCAGTCGTGTCCGACTCTGTGCGACCCCATAGATGGCAGCCCACCAGGCTCCCCCGCCCCTGGGATTCTTCAGGCAAGAACACTGGAGTGGGTTGCCATTTCCTTCTCCAATGCATGCAAGTGAAAAGTGAAAGTGAATTCGCTCAGTCGTGTCTGACTCTTCGCGACCCCATGGGCTGCAGCCTACCAGGCTCCTCCGTCCATGGAATTTTCCGGGCAAGAGTACTGGAGTGCGATGCCATTGCCTTCTCCAAGAAAAACATCTACTTCTACTTTATTGACTACACCAAAGCCTTTGACTGTGTGGATCACAACAAACTGGAAAATTCTTATAAAGATAGGAATACCAGACCATCTTACCTGCCTCCTGAGAAATCTGTATGCAGGTCAAGAAGCAACATTTGGAACCGGACATGGAACAACGGACTGGTTCCAAATTGGGAAAGGAGTACGCTGTATATTGTACAGTGTACTTCAAGGCTGTATATTGTCAGCCTGCCTATTTAACTTAAAGGCAGAGTACACCATGCAAAATGCCAGGCTGGATGAAGCACAAGCTGGAATCAAGATTGCCAGAAGAAATATCAATAACTTCAGATATGCAGATGACACCACCCTTATGGCAGAAAGTGAAGAGGAACTAAAGAACCTCTTGACGAAAGAGGAGAGTGACAACGCTGGCTTAAAACTCAACATTCAAAAAACTAAGATCATGGCATCTGGTCCCATCACTTCATGGCAAATAATGAAGAAACAATGTAAACAGTGAGAGACTTTATTGTTTCGGCTCCAAAATCACTGCAGATGGTGACTGCATCCATGAAATTAAGACACTTGCTCCTTGGAAGAAAAGCTATGACAAACCTAGACAGCATATTAAAAAGCAGAGACATTACTTTGCCGACAAAAGTCTGTCTAGACAAAGCTTTGGTTTTTCCAAAGTCATGTATGGATGTGAGAGTTGGACCATAAAGAAAGCTGAGAACCAAAGAATTGATGCTTTTGAACTGTGGTGTTGGAGAAGACTGGAGCGTCCTTTGGACTGCAAGGAGATCCAACCATTCCATCCTAAAGGAGATCAGTCCTGAATATTCATTGGAAGGACTAATGCTGAAACTGAAACCCCAATACTTTGACAACCTATTGCAAAGAACTGACTCATTGGATAAGACCCTGATGCTGGGAAAGATTGAAGGCAGGAGGAGAAGGGGACAACAGAGGAGGAGATGGTTGGATGGCACCACCAACTTGATGGACATGAGTTTGAGCAAGCTCTGGTTGTTG